GGGTGCCGAGTCTGCCGGCCAGCTGACCAGTCGGACTCGCATGATGAAGTGGTGAGTTGGTGGGAGAAGGACCCGGAAGTTCTGAGGAGTGGAAGCTGTCTCTTATACACATCTAGATGTGTATAAGAGACAGGAGAGAGAGAGAGAGAGAGAGAGAGAGAGGTTTAGGACGTGGACTTTTAAGGATGGGTTAAAGTAGGAGTTCGAGTCTGGGTTGACGTGGCCAGTGAGTTGCTGATACGTCCTCTTCTTCAATGGGATGAAGAAAACGTGTGCGTGAGGTGCGCGTGGGGCCGCGTCTCCTCCTCCTCCTCCTCCTCCTCCTCCTCCTCCTCCTCCCCTTCTTCTTCTTCTTCTTCTTATTCTTCTTCTTCTCCTCCTCCTCCTCCTCCTCCTCCTCCTTCACTTCTTCTTCCTCTTCTTCTTCTTCTTCTTGTTGCCCGCCCTGCCCGCCATCACCGACCACCAATGAGGAGTTCGAGTCTGGGTTGACGTGGCCAGTGAGTTGCTGATACGTCCTCTTCTTCAATGGGATGAAGAAAACGTGTAAAGGTGCGTGTGGGGCCGCGTCTCCTCCTCCTCCTCCTCCTCCTCCTCCTCTTCTTCTTCTTCTTCTTCTTCTTCTCCTCCTCCTCCTCCTCCTCCTCCTCCTCCTCCTCCTCCTCCTTCGTTTCTTCTTCTTCTTCTTCTTCTTCTTCTTCTTGCCCCCCCTGCCCGCCATCACCGACCACCATTTCCGATTTTTTTTATTTTTTTTTATTTTTTTTATTTTTTTTTTGTCTCTGCCTCGTACAGGTGCGCGTGGGGCCACGTCTCCTCCACCACCCACCTTCTTCTTCTTCATCATTTTCATCTTCTTCTTCTTCTTCTTCTTCTTCTCTCCCACCCTTTCTCACCCCCCGCCCTCCATCCTTTCTCACCCACCCTTTCTCACCCCGCACCCATCTTCGACCTTCATCTTCTTCTTCTTCTTCTCCTCCTCCTCCTTCGCTTTTTCTTCTTCTTTCTACTCTTTTTCTTTTTCTCCTTCTCCTCCTTCGCTTCTTCTTCTTGTTCTTCTTGTTGTTCTTCTTCTTTTTCTTCCTCCTCCTCCTCCTCCTCCTCCTCCTCCACCTCCTCTTCTTCTTCTTCCACATACAAACCTGCAAGGTCTGTGACATACCAGCACTGACATCCCCCAGACCCCCCGCTGCACAACCCCGCCTTCAAAAAAAAAAAAAAAAAAATCCTTGCTGTGTTTTTGCGTCGCCCGGTTTCGCCGGGCGAACCCCCCCGGGTCCAACCGGCCAGGGCCCGCCCCGCCGGGCACGACCAGCCGGGCGGCGGCCCAGCCTAGATATATACATATATATGGGTGTTTTTTTGGCCCGCCCAGTTTACCCAGGCAGCCCCCCCAGGCCCAACCGGCCGGGCGGCGTCCTCACTCAGGTAAAGTTTGAATGGTCTGGATTATGAATTCAATGAAAAGAAAGCGTAGAGGTAGGGCACTCGCAGTGAACTAAGACGAAGTGTGGTTTAAGCTTGCTGTATCAATTTACTCGCTGACCCATTATGCAAAAGGGTACGTCGTTAACCTTTGCAGATCCATCATCTATTTATTAATAATGCACCGTTCAGCCTTGGACTGATTGCTGCGCCTGGATAATCCGGAATGCGGCGTAGCATGCCCGCAAGACTAAAGAAATCCATAGGACAGAAAGTCAAATTCACACCAAAGAAAGTAATCCAAGAATGAATTTGACCTAAGGTTTCTCGATTTTGAAGACCAGAGATTTGCATCTTTTCTTTTCTTTTCTTCGAGCCTGAATCCGACCAAGTCCTTTTGAATCTGTCAAAGGTTTAAACTTTAAAGACGTGAGTTGGGTTATCAAACTGAGGCAGGCCTTGGCCAGTCAACGCTACAATAGAGCTGTCAGTCCAGCGGCTCATTCATTCTGCCTCGCACACATTGGTTGTCAGAGCGCTGCTGGGCGAGGCAGAGAGGAGACGGGAGGCTGCCGCCAGAGAAGAAAAGACTGCGCCAGTCCAGGAAGAAGGCAGATCGATAGCGAGGAAGGGCACCTGTCATCATAGCTTGTGCTCAGAGGTGGGGCAAGGAAGAGGGTGATCAGGACTGTGAGGGGGGAGAGAGAGAGAGAGAGAGAGAGAGAGAGAGAGAGAGAGAGAGAGAGAGAGAGAGAGA